AATAATGATAAAGTAACTAACCATTATTAATTTACATTACCACTTACCATGTACTATTTGAAGACTCAATACTTTTGCTTTGAAAATTAAATATTCAAGTATACTCAAGTTTTCTTAGCACTTAAAGCCAAGTAAATTCAATCTCTTAGATTTTTTCAGTTGCTGCATATTTATATTCAAAGAAGAAAAATCGTTGTGTTTCTGACTATTTATAGCTTCTTTCATCAGAAGAAAACTACCACAGCATTTGTTACAGCCAGTCAGATAGTCAGTGTGGTTCTCCTCCAAGGGGTTGGTCAGAAGAGTTGGATGAACGTGGGCATACCTTATATACCAGTGACTATACTAATGAAAAGGTACTTCCTTTTTTCTCACCTAGTAATTCTTGGTAAAATCTTAGCATCAAATAATTGTGTATTGAAGCTTTAGAAGTATTTTAAAAACTTACTAAAATATTCACCTTTGTAGTTCTAGAATAATTCCAGTTGACAATGAACACTTAGTATACAACTACAGATTCATGGTTTTGAATAGCTATTATGATAGTGATTTTTGTGATGTTGATAGCACACTTTGGATGGACCTTGTAAGGATAGACCTAGTAAGTGCCATTTGTTTAGATTTATGTGGTAAATCTATTCACTATATATTTTTTTGAAAATAAATTTTTATGAATTGCTTTCTCAGTCCCTAATTTTTATATGCTGTCTCACTGCCTAGACTCCTTTTTTTGCTATGATCAAATTTGTCTAAAACAAAAACCATGAATCTAGTATTTTATAAATAATTGGTTTGGGAATGAATATTGAAAATTTATATGCAGATTGTATCTGGCATTGCTTAAGAAATTAACTGGTTGCTTGTGTTAGAGAATTGACTGTAGGATAACGTGGAATAGGTTTTTACTTCTCTTTCCTGACTGAGTTATTTGCCACTAGAACATATGAAAGTGAGAGTTTTCATTTGTATTATAACCAGGATCATATGTTCATATTAGTAATACTTAGTCTTCTTAAATTACTGTATTATATTGCCTCAAGTCCTATATTCTTTATGTATCTATGTCTAGTACACATGTGTATCTATGTATCTTTGTGTCATGTTTCTTGTTATGTTGTTAAATGATATTTCCCTCACTAGCCTGATACTGGAGAAAACAAAATTTACATTAATATTGAATAATAATTTTTACCATGTTTAAAATGCAAATCTATAAGTTGGTTGATTTTTTTTCTTAAATTTTCTTAGCAAGTAGAATAAAATTCACAGGAATAGTATTTAATGTCTTGTAGTAACAGCTTGAATTCACTTAAAATGTAAAAATCCTGTTATGTTTTTATAGTGGCTCAAGCATGTTGACGATCAAGGTAGACAGTATTACTACAGTGCGGATGGATCTCGGTCAGAATGGGAACTGCCAAAGGTAATAAATCTTAACAGTGAAATTCTGTTTAAAGTTGTAGATGGAGTGATAGCTGAGGATATCATCAGATTTGTTTTTAAAATTTTTTAAATCATTTATATATTTATTTGGTATAGGGTCTTGCTATGCAGCTCAAACTTGTAGTGAGCCTCCTGTCTTAACCTTCTCACTGCTGGGATTATAGGTGTATGCCACCACGCTTGGTTTTGGTGGCCAGCACAGTGTGCCTGGGGGTTCTGGGACCAGCACAGCATGTGGTTCCAGAGATCGAACCTGGGTCCTTGTGCTTGCCAGGCGGGCACTTAGACTGCTGAGCTATCTTCTCAGCCTTGTGTTTGTTTTCATATTGTTACTCAGCTTGTAAAAGTAGACTTTTTTCATTGTTGTTTTGTTTTGTTTTAGAATTCATCAAGAATCCTGTGATTGGCTAAGTTTTTCTAAGGGGTACAATTATCTTTGCTGTTTAGTACTGATTATTCCTACTCAGAAATTCTTTTGGTTTTGTTTAGCTTTAGGTTTATCTTTCACTGTTTCTGGAAATAAAATATTCCCTCCAGTGGAAGTAATGCCATCCTGTATTTAATTGCCTTGAGTTTTCTGCATGAATTTTCTGTTTAGTGTTTTTGAGGGAAAGAAAAGTGACTTAATAGTCAAGATTATCCTCATAAGCAAGTGTTGTAATTCAGTTAATGGCTGTGAGACAGTATGTGGTTATGAGTTCTGGTAGGGAAAATCTCTGAGGGAGGAAAAACTGAGTTATATCAGAACCTCCAAGGGGAGCTGTGAGGCACAGATATAGGTGGTAATTGTTGCATGACCAATGGGCAGTCCTGTTTTGTGATACTCATCTTCTGCTATCATTTGCCACATAATATAGAGTGTTAGAATAATTTGGAAATTTCTTCAACTCCTGATTAAGTTGGATATAGCAAGGAAGCTTGAACTCGGTTCTGTGAGAGTGAGAGAGGTAGGGAAAAATGTTTTGAAACCTCTTTAATGGATTATCACTCTGTGCTAAAGGCAGTTGCAGGTTCAATTCTGTAAAGTAATTTAGCACTCACACTAAGTCTAAGGTAAGTTATGTCAGGCATATGCAACCTACAATGCAAATGTAGTACTAGAAATTTATTTTCTGAATATATTTTTGGAGTCTAGTACCATAGTCTTTATTCTTTCAGAAGCTTAAGAATAAATTTGGAATGGACAGCCAAGCTCATATGGCAGCAAAATATAGCTGAATATGTACACACACATCCCTAATTGTGGATTAGGTATAAGGGCAGGAAACTATGAAATTACATACCGGATGGGAGGTGGCAGGATTGGGTGTAGGAAATAAAGGCAAGTGAATGAAAATGAGAAAACATTTTAAAATATTTCTCCAAAATTGCAAATACAATGAAATCTAATGTTATTATAGACACAAGAAAAACAATAACCAGAACATTGTACTCAAGGTGAAATTTGATTTTAATAAAGTTGTAAACTAAGCATGCCATGGATGACTGATTAAGTTAAATGAAGATTTTTTTTTTTTTTTTTTTAATGGTACTGGGGATTGAACTCAGGACCCTGAGCTTGCCAGGCAACCGCATATTCTACTGAGTTATCTCCCTGGCTCCAAGATTTTCGTTTTAAAAGAACAAGAAATTTCCAAGTGTGGTAGGCATGCCTGTCATCCCAGCATTAGGGAGGCTGAGACAGAAGGATCACCATGAGTTTAAGGCCAGCTTGGGATATATAGTAAGTTCAAGATCAGCCTAAATATATAGCAAGATCCTCTCTCAAAACAACCACGATAACAAAACAAAAAGTTAAAACCAAATTATGGAAAATAAAATATTTATGAACAGGTAAGTATAATTAGGAGTAAATTAGAAATCTTTAAGAAAAAAACAATGATTCCTGAAATCGAAGTAGCAGATTGCTTAAACTAGAGAGACATGAAGATAGCAAATATAAAAACATGCTTATGAGAAATGATAGGACTAAAATGAATTCCTATATTTATTTACTAGGAATTCCAAAAGAAGAGAGTGGAGGAAACAGTAGAGAAACTGAATATATAATTTCTGAGGATTCTCTAAAAGCAAAGAAAGGCAAAAATTGTCTGTTTCTTTTGATTTTTGGTGCTAGTAATTGAATCCAGTATCTTTGGACAGAATTATAGTCTCATCTCTTATTTTGGAGACAGTGTTTTGCTAAGTTGCCTGGTGGGTTTGAACTTGTGATCCTTCTAACTCAGCTTCTCAGAGTGCTGATATGAGAGTTGTGCACCATCATGCCAGATTAGGCCAAACTCTTTAACTGAAAAATGTGCCATGAATATTGACCAAGATAGATCAAAATAAATCCATAAGTTGACAAATTTTGCTGGAGGTTCTGAACTTGAGTGGGAAGACAGTCTTATAAGATGTCAAAAGGTAAAAGGATATGTAGAAATTTAATTAGACTAAATTAAATTTAATTAATTAAAATTAGGTTTAAATTTAATTAAACCTAATTTTTCTGAATGCATCTTTGCTGTGCAGTACTATGTAGATGCTATGACGAATGCAACTCTGAGGTACTCATATCCTGAGTTAATGTTTAAGACAAATATAAAAGGGGGTGATAAAACGATGTAATTGTGGTGAGGTTTCTTTATTTCACTTGAAGTACAAAATGTGTGTTAAATTGTGTATATTGTAATCCCTAGAGCAAGTACTAAGTAACTGTAATAAAAGAGACAAATTATAGTTCTGTTAAGATATATAATGAAAATTGCTTGAGTTGCCGATAAGACAGAAGGGAGCATAGGAATGATAAACAGAGGTGAAAGCAAATAAGATGGCGCATGAAAATCCTAACATAGAAAGCTACGTAAAGTATAAATGGCTAAACGTCTGTTAGATTTTCAAATGGTGAAAATACCGTGACATAAACATAGTAGAAAATCACTTCAAATATGAGACGTCTTGCTAAAGGTTATCTATCACATAATCTGCAGTGAGTCTCATGCTTTATGGTAGAATTTATGAAAGCTTTCCCACTGGAGTTATGAACTAGACTAGAAATTTTCTATCACTATTTCAAAAATTAAGTAAAAAAAGAATTGGGGGCTTGCCCATTAGCTCAGTTGTGTAAGTGCCTGCCTAAGTAAAGCAGTCAGGCTCGGGATTCTGTGGTTGGATCCCCAGATTCTCAGGCCTTACCAGACCTGTCCTTAAGGCATCCTGAGCTGGCAAATAAATAAATAAAACAAAACAAAACAAAACAACAAAAACCAGAATTGAAAAGCTGTAAATATACTTTTGAATGTTAGGAAATCCAAGGGAACCTACAAACTTAAAACATGAAAATTCAGAGTTCCTAGTTATAAAATCAACATAAAAACTATTCCATTTGTCTAGTCAAAATCTTGAAAGTGTGGTGGGAATAAAGATGTCATTTAGGGGCTGGGGGAGATGGCTCAGTAGAATAAGTGCTTCCCTGGCAAGTGCAAGGGCCTGAGTTCAATCCCCGGTTCTGCCAAAAAGAAAGAAAAAAAATCATATCATAACTAAGAATATGCCTAGTAAAGGTATATAAGATATTAAAGTTCCTGGGTTGAGAAGCTTAATTTTATAACAATGCCCAAATTATTGCATTTTTATATCTTCTCCCATACTAGTTTTTGGTTTTATATCTTCTTCCATACTAATTTTTGGAAATGATTTTGAGATTTATATTTGCAGACAAAGTTCCATGAAAAGCTAACCGATTCTGTACAGGGAAAATTGGGAGTGAGCCAGGAGGGATTTGACTTATTCTGAGGTAACTGAGACAGTAAACATAACACATGCAGGTAGAAGGTAAGTCAGTAGGAAAAAAGCAGAGTTGCAGTTATGGCTTTACAAATCAATATGGTAAGCACGTAGTATAGTAAATGTTAAGATTATTGGTTATTCATATTAAAATAATAAAAGATTTTGACCTCTTTTCATGCTTAATGATTGTTTTCAGTTAGAGTTCTTTGGGGTGGGGGTTTCTTTTTGAGACAGGGTTTTGCCTTGTAGCCCAAGTTGGTCTTGAACTCATAACAATCCCCTTGCCTCAGCTTCCCGAGTGCTAGTGTTATAGGTGTAAGCCACCACTCCTGGTGTGATTTTGGTTAGGTTAAAGATACACATTTAGTAAGCAAAATGTTAAAGATTTTATGGGGTTCTATCAAAGAATATTTGTCTGCAGAGCAGTCTGTATACCAATAAGAGACAGTTAAAAATATGTAGGTTAAATACGTGACTATGCAAGACACAGAAAAAATAGTATCTGAAAAATTTGTGTTTTCAAACATTCAGGAAGATGTAAATTAATACCATGAATATTGATCTCTTCATGTAAATCTTTAAAAAACATATAATGTATACACATAGTGGAAATATACAAGATGACCAGAATATATATGGTGAATGTTTAACTTTTTAAAATTTGTTATAGTAAAAGGTACATTACCATTAATCTTCCTCAAACTGCTTCCCCTAGCTTCAAACACATTTATCCCATCATTCTTGCCACTTTGTGAAACAATTCTGAAAGTTCTCTTTTGTGTCATTACAGGGTATAATAAAAAAATACCACGCATGCTACCAAGTGCTATGCAGTGGAAAGGCAGGCTTGTAAATATATTACAATTTGTCCTTACCTACTTTACTTACCAGACCTGACCCCATGTGACTTCTAGCTCTTTCCAATAAAGATGACCACAAAGGATAAAATGTTTCGAATTGATGCAGGACATATTTCAAAGATACTCAGTGAAGAGGTTTTCCAGAAAGGTTTCAGAAAGTGACAAGAATGATAGGATAAGTTTGTTCAAAGTGAGGGAGAAAAAAAAAGTGAGGGAGAGTATTTTGAGGGGGATTAATGAGAGTGTGTCTTTTACTGTCAACATTTTAAAAATTAAACATTCACTGTATTTTTTCAGTCACACTTTGTATTTTATGTACACAAAGTTTAATATTGAGTTGGTAGAATGTAAG